TGATGACCTAGGGTATAATCAGATTATGAAGAACTTTGTAATTATTTTATTAAAGAATGTTTTACTTTATCTTAAAGCAGTGGCTCTCAACTTGCCAAATGCCCCAACCCTGTGATACAGTTCCTCATGTTGTGGTGAACCACTCCCCACCATAACATTTTCGTTGCTATTCGCAACTGTAATTTTGCTACTGTTATGAATCGGGGGGCCCCTGTGAAATGGTCATTTGACCCCCAAAGAGGTCACAACCCACAGGTTGAGAACTGCTGTCTTAAAAGTAAGAGATTTGAGCAAGGATTGACACAAGCAGACCAAGTGTGAAAGAATCACTATGTCGTCCATTGTGGGGATAATGGTGACCAAGCAGACTGGTTAAGAGGCTCCAGTAGTAGTGTGATAGTGTACAGACAGGGAGTAGAAATAGTGAGAAATGAATTCAAGAGAAGTCTTTTGAGTTAGCAACAAGCAAAGCCTACTCTCTTGAAATAGCAATTCTTCCTGTTGATACTATCTTCCTGCATGTCTACTGTGATTTTAATAAATGGTTTTATTATTGTTTCTTCTTACAAATTTTATCAGTCATATCATGATGCATTAGTAGTTGTTCCATTCCTTAAATGCTTGTTGAGCGTTTTTAACACTACAGTGCTCTGTACAAATAGAAAAGATAACTATTCATCCTAGTGCTAGGCAATCAGAAAGGGAAATAGTCTCCTTTGAAGTAAAGACCAAGTGTCCAGTTATGTTGTCATCTATAACTATCACCGTAGAATATATAATCACCCAAAGAATAATAACACACGCACATGCGCAGGAGGAGGCTTCAAATTTTGTGGGGTAAGCTGCCTTATTTTTCAATTCTATTATTTCATGAACTTTTTCAAGCTTCCTCATGCAGGCATATAGATATGCATATGCATACCTAACTAACCTTTACTACCTTGGGACTGCTACCAAGAAACCAAGCCTCTCATGAGCAAAGAGATACACTCTTTAAATTTACAATTATGCACACACTTTGAGATAATTCCCTAAATGGACCCTATTAGCATTTACTCACTCACTCACTCACTCACTCACTCACTCACTACCATGAATCCCTGTTGACTCTTGCAACCCTGTCAGACAGGGTCTTTGTGAGTTTCCAGGACCATAACTCTTTACTGGATTAGCAACCTCTCTTTCTCCCAAGAAGCGTATGGTGGTTTTGAACTGCTAACTGCCATTAAGCAGCCCAACTCATAACCACTACACCACCTAGGCTTTAGTTAGGGAAAAGTCTAAAATGAAGTGTTGTTCGTACCAGTAACATCACCAATATTTGGAAATACAAAAACATATTGATTCCACGCTTTTATTAAATTATCTTTTAAAATAATATTTAATAAATACCATCGACATTTTGTATTTTAGACAAACATAGAATGAATGAGCAGTTTTAAATACAGAATATCTAGAACTATGATATTTCCAAGAAAGAAAAAATTAATTTTTTTATTAAGTAACCTACCTAATCATCATGTAAACATTAAATAGTAAAATTGTCTTGTTTGCTTCAAAGTGTTTACTTCTGCTGTCTTTCATAAGAAAACTATATATCACATACCAACTATGATTTATATGTTTGTCTCCAGTCCATACCTCTTATCCCTTCCCTCTGTAATTAAAGAAGGGTGATAATAATTTATATTGTAAGACTTAAAACCACATTAGTTTAGTAGGGATGTGTTCACTGTATTTTCAAGAAGCACCACCCTGGTGGTATAGTAGTTACACATTGGGTTGCTACCTGCAAGGCCAGCAGTTCGAAAGCACAAGCCACTTCAGAGAGGAAAGATGAAGCTTTCTTCTCCTGTAAAGAGTCACAGGCTAGTAAACTCTCTGAGGCAGTTCTACTGTCCTACAGGGTTACTATGAGTTGGTATCAGCTCTAGGACATTGAATTTGGTGTTTGGTTTGGTTTTTAACATGCCTGTATGGTCAGATAATAAGATTACAAACAAGTGAAATGGGAAGCTTGTGGGTTGTAACTTAACAAGAAAGAAGACCTCTTGCTTCTCCTCTATTTATGCTAGCTGGAATGTGGACATGTTGGCAACCAATTGCCCTCAAAATAGAAGCTGGATGTTTACTAAGGCTTACACTGTCAGGTGAGAAAAACTTAAATATATATCCTATTTATGTTTCTTTTCATTTGTTTTTTTCCTTTTGTTAAAGCAGCCAATTTTGTACCAAATAATACAGGTTTCTTTTTCTAACATTTATACTTTCAGACAGAGTGGAAAAGGGATAGGTAAGTGAGAGAAGATTAATTACAATATAGACACATGGTTAATGAACAAAAAGCATGTAAGAATGTGAAGCTGCCTAAATAATAGACAGATATATGGTAACAGAAAGGTCATATAGTCCCAAATCACTAATCAAGAGTGTCAAATAAACATTTCCTAGAGGCTAAGGCTACTTGTCTTCTACAGACGGAAGCTTTTATTTATATATTTATTTTGACAAGAGGAAACGTTCCTGTATATATATTTCATACAAGATACTGAAATGGAACATAACTGTATTCCTCACATCACTACACCAAAAAGTCAAAAGATTCACTTCTCAGCATGAAAATGCAGAGCCACATAAATATGAAAGGACTCCACATTTGAAATGTATTCACACCACAGTGCAGTCAAATGGAGACCATTGTATTGTGAACAAGTGAAACGTTATCATATAACACATGTAAGGAACCTTATATAAAGTAATGAATTAAAAGAAAAAAGCAAAAAATGCTGCTGTAACTTGCAATGGAAGCTGTCTCTTACAGTTACAACCATTAATAAGAGTAATATGCCATTGAATTTTTACAAAATTTGAGATGGCATTTGCTTCTTAAATAAGTAATTAGGAGATGACATAATGCATTGCTTATTTCTTTTGCTTCCATCTCTTTAGTGGTGGAACTCTTTGTAGGCAAAGTTCATAAACATATAAAGGTATGCATTATATTTTTAATGAACTTTTTTGAAGTCCTACATGATAGTTGGCTTTTTTATGTCAACATGGCACCTGTAAGAAGATATAGTGGAGTTTGGCCTGTCAATGAAGTTGTAGTTTGATGGCCTTATTTGGAGGTGCCACTGAGATAAATGGCTCTCTGGAGCCAGGCTACTCTCTTTCTGCCTTCACCTTCCTGTGCTATGCTGAGACCTGGAAGAGAACTGTGATGCTTCCATCACCATTGGATCCACAAGACTTTGCACCACCTGCCTGTGATCTTCCTGCGTTCTGCATCATTGCATGTAGCTGCATAAGTCTGAAGAGGGATTTATGGAATAGTATCGAACTTATGGACTTGAACTAGACTAGGCTGGGATGTTTTCCCAATATATGATTACTTCTTGATATAAATCTCCCTCTTACACATATATGAGTGTCTCTAGATTTGCTTATCTAGCCAACCTGGACTAACACACCTTGTGTGTTACTCTATCAATGGAAAACATTGTATCTTTTGATACAACTGTGTAGGGAAAAAACTGGTGAATTGCAGAAAGGTATTTGATAACATCACTAATTCAGACTCAATTGCCTGAGTACAGTTTTTCTACTTATTATTGAGAAAGCATTTTTGATCATGTAACTGCTGAGATGCACAAGAATTTACTGAGCTAACATTACTGGCATTAGTAAGACATAATTGCTAGATAGTCCTTTCCTTTTGATTAAATTCTCAGGAAAATGTAATGCTGGAAAGTAACACAAAAGTCAGGGACTCTGAAAGTAGAATCTCAGGAAAGTATCAAACCTCTCTTTCCTTTTCTCCATATATCCCATGATTACTGTAATTCAAGGAAAGGAATATAGAGAACTACTAGTGACAATGACATTGCCAAGTTTTTGAAAGGAAGTTGAATACAGAAATCGAGATGTTAAAAAGTATTATTTTTGTCCATAATGTGTCCATAATGTGTCATTGCTATACAAAGAGATAGAGATCATCTTAGCCTTGGGAGAAATTATCTAATAAGAGAACACATGGTATTCTTATTGAAGAAAAATATAGTTGATGCAGAAGCCCTACGGATGATTTCACAAGAAAAATGCAATGAATAGGAGAGCCTGAAATAAATGTCGCCCTGTGAACTTAGAGAAGGTACAGGCTTTGTCTCGACATTGCTTAACTGCTTATATATTCACTTCCAAGAGTATGAAACAGAGTCGAGGCAAACCAGAAGACAGAAGAAAGGACTTCCATTAAAAGCACTAAAACTTGAACATATTTAGTTTGCATGTGATTCTTAAAAATAGAATCATATGAAAGCATGAATACAAATTCTGGAGACAAAAAGTTTGTTTTTGTTATTTTTTTCTTTTTTCTGATCTCAGTAAAAATAATTCAAAATAAAATTTTAGATGATTCAATCTTCTTTAAGAAATGTAGGCAAAATATGCAACAAAAAAACCTCCCCAAACTACCTTATCCCTGCTGTCTCTGTGGCTTTTAGACATATGATTGTCTTTGAAATTCAGCCAAATGTGAGAAACATTAATGAAATTTAAAATGTTAAATTAGATTAAAAGGATAAATAGCCAACTCGGTCCTTTATTAAACATTTAATCCAATTTTTATACAATAATGAGAAAGCTATAGCAGCCGCCAGCCATCTCTGAGACCAGGGTACATGTTTCGCTGTAAGATTTTAAAAAATGTTTGCTTCTTACATTATAACCACAGGTGATAATGATGAGAAAATAGGGGGATGAAAGTCCGTGTTGCCAATGTCTATCCATAATAAAGGCTTTGCCTACGTCATGTTGAAGAGGCTACAAAACTAGTTGTAAAACAGAAATTCCCTTTTGAGTATTGCTACCTATATCTGTCCATCCTGAACAGATACAAATTCCATCGTGACAATGCTTGAAAACAGTCATTCTTCTCAGTATTATCATAAAATTTTTAAAGTGTTAATAAAGATACAAATATTTAAAAGGAAGCTACTCACCAATGCCAATGAAAGCAGCTTTGTAACCTTCTTCTTTCAAAGTGCGAAGAGTTATTTCATTCACTGAAAGGCTTTTACCACAAATTATCTGTAAGCAATAATATTTTGAATAACATATATCAACATTTTGTTCATTTAAACATTAACGTCTTTAACATCAAAAAGAAGGGACATCCAATCAAAGCTAACTTTCTCACTAGGAATGTGTGTGTTTCTGTGTCTATGTGTGCATATGAGATAATTTTTCACATTTAATTAATGGACATACCTATATCAACTTCTCTAATGTATATAACACTAACATGTTTATTTAAGAATTAAATGCATTTTTCTTTTTAATGAAGTAGTAGGAGCAAAGCCAGTGTAATTAAATTTAAGTTAACAAACTTCAATAGCTAATTTAATATGTTCAATTATTATTCTCAGCACGTAAAAAATACAATGAGCCATGAGATCTCATTGTTGGCTCAGTATGTGCTCAACCATTCCCTGAGCAAAGCAAATAGCTAACACACTTACCTGCTGACCAAATGTTTGGAAATTTGAGTCTATCAGAAGACAAACCTGACCATCTACTTCCTGAAAATTCAGCCATTAAAACCCCGGAGAACACCATTCTGTTCTAACACACTTAGTGCCACCTTGAGTCAGAATCAACGTGATGGTAACTGGTTTAAGGAGATATTGGAAAATCATTCCCTTCCCTCTATGGAGAATATTAGCAAGAAGAAGCAGTTGCCAGCAATATGGGCCCATAGAAGAAAAATTGATCAACATAGAAAACTTGACTATTCGGAAAAGTTGGCCCTGTGCCCAAGTCAAGACAGGAAATAAGTATGAGAATTCATATCCATTCGGTAAGATCATTCACAGCCACGTCAATTTTCTCATACTGTACTACCTAGAGCGGATCCACTGCACGAACTGGAATGAAGGTAAGTATAAAGGTATTAACAAAAGTGTCGAAATGGGAAGACTGTTTCTTAACATACTAGCCAATGATGGTCGATTCACTTCTGAAGAGAGCGTTTGCATTTTTCTACCCCTCCCTCAGATAATTTTCTCTCTTCAATCGACACTACCTCAAGCAGGCAGTGTGTCACCCTCAAGGACTGAAGTTGTTTTCTCTAAATGTTCTTCAAGTTTGGGGAACAAAACCAACCAAAAACATTAAGAAGAAGCAAGATCAGAGCTCTTGGCTAGATAGGGCAATGTTTCCCCCCAAGATTACTGTAGTTCAGCCCTTGTGAGCCCAGAAGAACGAGAAGGTCCAATGACACGATAGAAAGATTAATTCTTGGCAGAATTGTCTCACAATGCAGTGTCCCAGAAACAATGATCAAGATTATCTCTTTGGAATGCTCCAGGAGGGATTCCATAACTCTCTGACATGATCTCTCTGCCTTGAACTCATCCTGGAGGTCTTCCTGACCTTCATTAAAACACTTGAGCTTTGTAAAATCTGTTCTTTTATGTGGAGCAGTATTGCCTACATTTGTTTCAAAGTGTTTATGATTCAGGAAGATGTCCATTTGAATTTTATTAAAAATGTATTATCTCCCACCTCAAATTGTTCTCTATCTCTAACCCCTAGAGTTTTGTTTATTAAAGGTACCTGGATGAGATTACCGCAACTCTTCTGTAAATGTGTCATAATGTGGTGGCTTGAGTGTTGCTGTAATGCTGGGAACTATGCCTCTGGTCTTTCAAATGCCAGCAGGATCATCCATGGTGGACAGGTATCAGAAGAGCCTCCAGGTTATGCACACACCATGAAGAAGAAATAGGCTGCTCACTTCTGAGAGCTCAGCCGCTGTAGACATTGTGAAACACTGCCAGAGGAGAACCCTTCAGGATGGAAGGTCCTCAGAAAGCAACTGGGGGAAGGGTGCCTCCTCAAAGAAGAGTGAACTTTAATGACGGGGACAGAGCAGAGCCTTGGAGATCTTCATTTGATGATGAGGCACAGCTCAAAACGAGGGAGGAAGAAAGTCCATGAATAATCAGAGCAAGGTAAAATGTACAAAATATGAATCTAGGAAAACTGGAAGTTGCTAAAAATGAAGTAGAACATGTAAAGATAGAAGTCTATCTATTTAGTCTGGTCTAAAAAGTGGGTGGGGGACTGAAACGCAATGCTGTTCCTTTGATTCAGATTCAGTGGCCCTATAGAATAGGGTTTCCAAGGCTCTCTATCTGTCTGCAGTGACAGGCAGAGCTCTCGTTTGGTAGTAACTGGTAGGCTCAAACTGTCAGCCTTTAAGTTAGTAGCAAGTGCTTTAACCACAGCACCACCAGTGCTCTAACATGGAAAAACAAAGCTGCGCATTTTCAAGAAAAATAGCAATAATAAATAGTTAAAATGTGCAGACCCAAATATGGTTTCCTCAGCAGAATTAATCATCTTAAATACTTTCATTATTCAATTCAAAAAAATTAATATGTGCAAAGCAATTCAAGAGTGTACAAAAAGAATAACAAATAAATATAAGAGGTAATATTTAATAAAGGTTAAGTTAAAATTAATGTATTAAAACACAAAGTTCTGAGAGATGGTTCTTTAAAGAATATACTAATTAGAGAAATTACCATCTAATATCATTAAGCAAGAAAAAGAAAAAGAATAAATAAATTTGAAAACATAAATCTAAGCGCAGGTACAGGTGAAATGGTTTTGTACAAGAGGGTAACCTATTTAGATAGAGGTTGTGGTGTGGTGGTTTACATTAGAGTGCTCTTTGAGCCTTGCTCTTTTAAAATCACACCAAGGAGCTAGTGAGACTATGCAGATTGGGTGTATTTCCTCTTTTCCTGATGAGTCCAGATAAGAGGAGGTGGACACATACTGATAAGATTACATGATGCAGTTATGAATGACGACTAACAGGGTGGTTAACTGTGATTATGAAAATTCAGAACTCTAAAGTGAAAACTGGTCAATTTTTCTGTCTTGATGGGTATAAAATGAGCTATTTTAGAAGCAGAAACCAGGGTGAGGGATCTGATTACCACTAGAGAAGAACCAGTGTAATGTGTACTGAGGATCTCTGGTCCATACACTCCACCTCCTCCAATCAGGAGGCAGAGGTGTGGTCCAGGGAGCAGCAGAAGAGTGACAATAGTGGAACCAGGAGCCAGAGAATTATACAGTCTTGGCTTTCCAGCCACGTGGTCAGCAAATCTGTGTACTAGTGTTTTCAGTAAAGAAACTTGCTTGGTAATGAGTTAGCTCCAGGCCCTTAATTGGAGGAGGATGGTCTATGTTGAGTAGAATACCCTTAAGGCATTTATCAGCAGGCTGAAAGAGCTTTGTAGCTTTGCCTGAGCAAGGCAGATGCCAAGAGATTGTGAGGAGCTAAGGACCAGAGAGAGGTGTGTCTGTGGGTACAGCTGGGAAGTGGGTATCCTGATTGGAAGAATTTTAACATAAGCATTTCTGATCTGAATTACAACCTGTTATCTTCCCTAATGAATCCCATAATCCTGAGCACTGTCTGAGTTCTGTGTGGTGATTGCCACAAATTACCAAATCAGTGAGAAGTACAAAAGGCCATCTTCCTGGTATATGATGGATCGGCTCAGTAGCAGGGACCTGGAATGAGGGGCTCTGACAGTGCTGTCAGAACTGGTAAAGTGGGTTGAAGGATGGAGGCATGTGTGACTTCTGCCTCAAACGCTGATGTTGAGTTTGATATTCTGTCCCCTTTGTGAAGTCATAGGAGGTCAGATATACCCCCCCTGCCCCGGTCAGTCTTACATAGCATAATAATTTTTAAAGAATCAGTGAAATGAAAGATTTTTGTAGAAAATACTAGTCAAATTGATGCAAAAGTAAAGTCAAGGCCAATAACTGTGGAAAAAGAAGAAAAGCTTTCATGTCAGAGGAATAAAAAATTTTAATTTAGTACAAAATATCATTCTCACGATAATATCCTAACAATAAAATAATTTTCTATTTTTGCAAACTAGACTGATATTATCAAAACATCATAAAAACTCAAAAAACCAAACTACTGCTATCAACTCGATGATGACTCACTGGGACTCTGTAGGACAGTGCCCTCTGTGAGTTCCCAGACTGTTTACTCTAGTTTATGGAATAGAAGCCTCGTTTTTCTCCAGAGGATCAGGTGATGGTTTTGAACTGTGGACCTTTCAGGTAGCAGCCCTATGCATAACCATTACACCACTAGAATTCCTTACAATGGTACAAAGACAGGCAAATAATAATATAAAGAAAATTAAAACTAGACTTTTAGTAGATAAGACATTCTGCAAGGGTAGCTAGAAACTGCACAGTTGTTTACTTAATCCCTATTAAACTTCTAGTCTTAATGCTCATTTCATTAAAAAAGTGAATATGAAATAGGAATTTTAAGGAAAAATTTAAAAAACTGGTTCTACATGTACAGATTCAATAAACCATGGCAAAAAATGGATATAGTACAGAAATTCAACATATTAATGAAATTTAAGTTTAAAATGTAACTATTAATTAGTAGACACATCCCTACTTCTATGATAATGAGCAGTTTAAGAAGAAAGGCCTGGGGAGATCACTTCTGGAAAGAGTCAGCCAATGGCAATCGCATGGACCACAAGGATGCACAAAATGCACCGCACTGCCAATCTGGGGCCAGGCTGAAGGGAATTTACAAAGCCGTTTCAGAATAGGACTCCTGAAAAATTAAACACTTCTTCTCTATTCATGTTTTTAAACCACAAAATGTTTGTATTAGAACTTACTAGACAACGAAATGGGGCAAGATGAGGGGTTAAAAGAATGGTTTGAATCATTTTTAAAACTGGAGCGTTTAATAGGATCTTGTTATTATGTCTTGGGCTGGGGAATGTAATCTGTAGATAGTACACTTCTTATAAACAAAAGCAATTTTTCAATCCCTCCCTATTCTTTATATTTCAAACTTAAATAGTGGCTTAGGTGGTTTTACAAAGAGAGCAAGAGACGGAAAAGCAAAATTGAAATGGGCTTGGAGTTTCAGTGTCACTTTCATCTTTGAAAAACTGGTGTGAGAAGAGTTCTTAGCATACTCCATGGCAAAATTAAACTCTGCATACTTATTTGAGCAGTAACCGAAAGTACTAAGAATAGAAAAGAAAAAACATCAAACCAGAAAGATAGGAAGATAAATTAGATCATGCTAGACCATAAAAGCAAAGAGGGGCAGGGGCAGGGGAAGAGGGAGAGGAAAATTCAAGACAGGGAGGAAAACAAAGAGAGGCAAAGACAAGGTGAGGGGGGAAGAGGGAATGTGTTTACAAACATGTCACAAGCTGTGCAGCATTCAAATTATTTTCTTTTAAGGAGTTTATTGTTGACTTTATAATATTTAATGCCAACTATATATAGCTTAGGGGTGAGCGGAGGCCTATTAGAAGAAGAATCTGGATGATATGACATTTTAAAAAACATATCCTCTGTTGCAAAACTGGAAAGGTCATCAAAGCTGCGAGTATCTTGTGAATGGACACAAGCAGTGAAGAACAATCCCCTGTTGTATCTCCTCAGACGGTGGTTCTGCTTCACCAAACATGTTTGAGTACTTTATCTCCTTTGCATCTTCAAGTAACATGAGCAGTAGCGAAGACAGTATGACTAACCTGCTCCTTCATTTAGTTATTTTTCTTGATCATGTGAAAAATGCAGAGAGTTT